GGATCAAGTGCAAGTGAGTGGCCCTAAATGGTGAGGGAATGGGCTGCAGGTGAGATGGGCGTGGAAGACCAGGTGAGAGGAATGAGTGATGATAGGGTGTGAGTGACGGGACCTGAAACAACAGGAGAGTTGGATAAACAGGCATGCAGGATGAAAACGATCTAAGATGAAGTGGAATTTGTGACAGAACCTCCCCCTCTAGGGACGGCTCTTGACGTCCTACTGGGTTGGTCCGGATAAGCCTGGTGGAAGTCTGATCAGGGAGGGGTATACTGCGAGCAGGGACCCATGAGCGCTCATCAGGACCATAACCTTACTCGTCCACTAGGTATTGCACTCCCCTACAACTAATAGTAACTTATAATACTAATAACTAATAAAAACACTCATCACTGTACTAAATCGTTACTAATAACTAAGACAGTAATCATCACTATACTAATAACTAAAACTGTAACGGTGTTTACCGGTCTCTGTAAAAAGTCAATCAGAAAGCTGCAGCTCGAGTCCTCACTAAGACCAAGAAAGTGGATCACATCACTCCAGTTCAGAGGTCTTTCCACTGGCTTCCTGTCCAACAAAGAATTGACTTTAAGATCCTGCTGTTGGCTTATAAAGCACTGAATGGTTTAGGGCCAAAATACATCTCTGATCTGCTGCTACCTTATGAACCATCCCGACCCCTTAGGTCATCTGGGACTGGTCTACTTTCTGTTCCCAGAGTCAGAACTAAACATGGAGAAGCAGCGTTCAGTTGTTCTGCTCCACATATCCGGAACAAAGTCCCAGAAAACTGCAGGTCTGCTGAGACCCTCAGCTCCTTTAAATCAAGATTGAAGACTTGTTTGATGCTGCCTTTAATTGAACCATATTCAAGGATAATCAATTTCACTACTGTAATTTATTTCTTACACTGCTTTTGTGTTTTTATGAATGTTTGTAATGTTTCAATTTATGTTTTGATGCTTTGTGAAGCACTTTGAACTGCCTTGTTGAAATGTGCTATACAAATAAACTTGCCTTGCCTTTGTGTTTGAGCGTCAATTCCCTGTATGTTTACCAGGACCTGTACCTACCTACCTACCTACGCACATGGTCCTCCAGGACGACCCTGTGTTTCATGTTGTAGTTTAGTGGTTAGTTTTGTACGACGACTGATCGTGTAGTGCTAGATACACGAATAAGATAGCATTCCCTAGTATTTTCTGGCTCCTGCACATCAAAATCGGTAGGATTTAATGAGTCTTTTCATGCTAAATCTGTTGGTTAAATGTTACTGAAGGATGTGTGTAATTTGTAGCATGTTAGTTAGCCTGTGCTAGTCCCTCTCGCCGAAATTAGGGCTGGTTTGAGCATGTGCGATAGTCTCGTCTCCATGTACCCCACATTAAACGCGGGTTCATTTTGCAAGGGTGCAGAACAGCTAAAATATCAAGTAATGACACCATATATGTTGATTTTGAGCATAGTACCAGAGTAGAAATGATTGAATGAAATATGAGTGAATATTGATTTTATTTTTGTATACTCTTGATGTCATTTGGTATATAATTAAATACATACACACACAGCATTCGGTCAGTCCTCGCCTAAAGATCAAGACGAAAAGAAACATGGTTATGAATTCAGAACAGTTCACTGTGCTGAGATGTCAGCTCTGATACCTGGTTATATTTCGTACACAGGCTATTGGTCCAACGGTCGGTGTTAACAGATGTCCTACTGCAAACCTGCAAGGTTAAATTAATAACCATGTTTTTGTTTTCGTAATTCTCCAATTATATTGATGCAGAAACAAAGAAAATGTGTAGATGTACAAAGTTACCTTCACAGATGACACCAGCATCCTCAGAATGACCACAGTTGTGGGTTCCTAATCCTCTGTGTGTACAGTGTGTTAGTGATGACTCAGTTCCCAAACACTGAAGGTCATCCAGCCAGATTGGTCCACTGCCTTGTCCAAAATGTGCCCTTCTTGGTGCCGACAGAGCCCAGCCACAGCCCAGCTGGTGACACACCACCTGAGCGTCTTTCACATCCCAGACGTCGTCGCACACCGTCCCCCAATTGCCGTTGTGGAAGATCTCCACTCTGCCAGAGCAGCTCCTTTTAGAGTTGACCAGTCTCACTGTGGTCACATCTGGTTGAAGTGAAGGCAAAATATCCGTCAACTCGCATGGCAACAGCAGTATTGAGCAAAAGCCCCATCTCTTCAATGTAACTGTACTCATCTCTTACATATCATACTCTCCCATCACACAAGATTCTTCTGAGGTAAATATGAGATATCTGGAAAATGTAGGATTCTATGACGCACAATATTTCATACCATGGATGTAAATTAGGAGTAAAAGTAATTAGAGATTAGGATAAAAAGAATGATGTTCATTCGTGATATTTAGGCACTTGTTAGCAACCATCTTTTTTAAGAAACTTTAAAGCTTCAAATTTCCTGAGTGGGATATTTACTGACATATTTTATGCCATAGAACAAAATGCTTGAATCTCTTCAGATTGTGTTAACCACAGACCTCATTTCAGGCATCTTACCGAAAACACGTTCAAAAATCCCATTGACTTCCATCAGTCAAGAACTTCAACTCATTGCTGGGTTTTAAGACTAATTCCTGCAGCACTTTATTGCAACTGTATCGTTTGTGAGATTGAATGAAACATAATGAATTTTCTAAATTATCCAGTTATATTTTGCAGGAAAAAAAATATGATTGTACATTTACAAAATTACCTTCACAGACGACACCAGCATCCTCAGAATGGCGACAGTTGTGGGTTCCTAATCCTCCGTGTGTACAGTCTTTTAGTGATGACTCAGTTCCTGAACACTGAAGGTCATCCAGCCAGATTGGTCCACTTCCTTGTCCAAAATGTGCACTTCCTGGTGCTGACAGAGCCTTGCCACAGCCCAGCTGTAGACACACCACCCGAGCATCATTCACATCCCAAATGTCGTCACACACCGTCCCCCAATTGCCGTTGTGGAAGATCTCCACTCTGCCAGAGCAGCTGCTGTTAGAGTTGACTAGTCTCACTGCGCTCATATCTAGTTGAAGTGAAAGCAAAATATCTGTCAACCCACATGGCAACAGCAGTATTGAGCAAAAGCTCCATCTCTTCAATGCAACTGTACTTGATCTAATCATTTAGCTTCTTTAATATTATTATCATGATTATTTGTATCATCTTTATTCTGAACTCTTTACATATACTCTCACTTCTGAGGTAAAGATGAGAAATTGTCTGGAAAATGTGGGGTTCTATGACACGAAATATTTTACAATGGATGTAAATTTGGGGTAAAAGTAATAAGGGATTGCGATAAAAAGAATGATGTTCATTTGTCTCATTTAGGCATTTTAGAGCAACCATCTTTTTCAGAAACTTTAAAGCTTCAAATTTCATGAGTGGGATTTTTACTGACGTATTTTATGTCATAGAACAAAATGCTTGAATCTCTTCAGATTGTGTTAACCACAGACCTCATTTCAGGCATCTTACCAAAAACACGTTCAAAAATTCCATCGACTTCCATTAATCGAGAACTTGAACTCATTGCTGGGTTTTAAGACCAATTCCTGGAGCACTTTATTGCAACTATATCACTGAATTGTTTGTGAGATTGAATGAAACATAACAATGATTTTCCTACATTATCCAGTTATATTTTGCAGAAAAAAATAATTTTGTAGATGTACGAAGTTACCTTCACAGACGACACCAGCATCCTCAGAATGAGCACAGTTGTGGGTTCCTAATCTTCTGTGTGTACAGTCTTTTAGTGATGACTCGGTTCCCAAACACCGAAGGTCATCCAGCCAGATTGGTCCACTGCCTTGTCCAAAATGTGCCCTTCTTGGTGCTGACAGAGCCCTGCCACAGCCCAGCTGTTGACACACCACCTGAGCGTCATTCACATCCCAAACGTCGTCACACACCGTCCCCCAATTGCCGTTGTGGAAGATCTCCACTCTGCCAGAGCAGCTGCTGTTAGAGTTGACCAGTCTTACTGTGGTCACATCTGGTTGAAGTGAAAGCAAAATATCCATCAACCTATATGACAACTGTATGTTGCAAATTACAGCAATATTGAGCAAAGGCCCCATCTCTTCAATGTAACTTTACTTGATCATTTAGCGTCTTTTTTATGAAGTCTTACATATCATACTTTCCCTTCACACATGATTCTTCTGAGGTAAAGATGTTGATCTGGAAAATGTGGGGTTCTATGATACACAACATTTCATATAATGGATGTAAATTACCGGTGAAAGCTATAAGAGATGAAAAGAATGAAACAAAACTAGGTATGAACTGTGACAGATGGATCCGGGTACATTGGGAGTTGATTCACAGGTTATTGTCAGGATGATGGAGATATCTAGAGAGTGCTGCGGGGATGACATTTTTCTAGGCCAACCCAGAAGTTAGCCTCTCAGTGGTTCCCTTGACAAAAAGCCAATGTGATTTTAGATTATTGCAGGAAATCAGCTCTGTGGCTGAACCAGTTTATGATACCAACATGTTTTGTTCACCAAGATCACTTCCACAAGTGAACACTACATTTTTGATTTTTAAAATCATAGATGCAATCGACAGAAGTAGAGACAAAATGTTTAAAATCAAACAAAATACACCACTGTGTGGCATGACTTCACGCCACTAAGCTAAAGGCAGACTATAGTTCAGCATGATGATGTTCATTCGTCTCATTTAGGCACTCGTTAGCAACCATCATTTTTAAGAAACGGAAAAGCTTCAAATTTCACGAGTGGGATATTTACTGACATTTCATGTCATAAAACAAAATGCTAAAATCCCAGTCAAAAGTCTCATTGACTTCCTTTAGTGTAGAAATGCCAACTCATTACTGGGTTTTAGGACAAATTCCTGGAGCACTTTATTGTAAATATATTACTGTATCGTTTGCGAGATTGAATGAGATTAATAAACATGTTCAATTCTCCAGTTGCAATTGTGCAGAAAATTATTTTTTGGAGATGTACAAAGTTACCTTCACAGACGACACCTGCATCCTCAGAATGAACACAGTTGTGGATTCCTATTCCAATGTGTGTACAGTCAGTTAGTGATGACTCAGTTCCCAAACACTGAAGGTCATCCAGCCAGATTGGTCCACTTCCTTGTCCAAAGTGTGCATTTCCTGGTGCTGACAGAGCCCTGCCACAGCCCAGCTGTTGACACACCACCTGAGCGTCATTCCCATCCCAGTCGTCGTCACACACCGTCCCCCAATTGCCGTTGTGGAACATCTCCACTCTGCCAGAGCAGCTGCTGTCAGAGTTGACCAGTCTCACTGGAGGACTAAATGCTGCACCAGATGTTTGAGGAACTGTGAAAATACAAATGTGATAAACCGGATACTTAATTCAGGATAATGTGTGATTCATTAGTGTATGACCACCTTTAGAAATATGATGAAATAGAACAAACTAACTGTAGAAAACCTACTCAGAATTGCGCGTGTACCCATTGGTCTTTCTGCCCCAGTGGTTGCATGTCATTACCAACACTACCAATTTTAAATTTAAAAAGTGTGGAATTCAGTCAATACTTGTGGTTATTCTGAATGATCCCGTTGTTGTGGAAGACGTCGTGCCTGGTTCCTGTACCAAAAAAGACACCATCTGGCCTCAATGACTATCAACCAGTTGCCCTCACATCTCATGTGATGAAGGTGCTGGTCTTGGCCCACCTCCGTCCGCAGGTGAAATCCTCACTGGACTCTCTGCAATTTGCATACAGCCTCATGTGGGAGTGGACGACGCCATCATCTACCTGCTGCAACGAGCTCAGTCGCACCTGGATGGAACTGGTGGCTCTGTGAGAATCACTTTTTGATTTCTCCAGTGCATTCAACACCATCCAACCAGTGCTGCTGAGTGAGAAGCTGCGGGTGGTGGGGGTTAACGTGTCCACCGTCTCCTGGATCACTGACTACTTCACAGGCAGACAACAGTTTGTCCGACTGGGCCGGGTGCTGTCTGATGCGGTGGTCAGTGATACTGGAGCCCCACAGGGAACTGTTCCGTCTCCCTTCCTGCTCACCACTGACTTCCAGTACAACTCATGCCATCTGCAGAAGTTCTGATGACTCTGCAGTGGTCGGGTGAATAACAAACGGACGGGAGGAGGAGTACAGGGCAGTAGTGGGCCGGTAGAAATCACCTGCGTCTGAACGTGGCCAAGACCAGAGAGATGGTGGTCGACTTCAGGAGGACGACGACGGCTCCACAACCGCTGAGAGTTCTGGGAGAGGACGTGGACATGGTGGAGGAGTACAAGTTCCTGGGTGTCTATCGACAGCAGACTGAACTGGAAGACCAACATCAACGCTGTTTACAATAAGGGGATGAGTCGACTCTTTCTTGAGGAAACTTCGATCCTTCAATGTGTGCAGCAAGATGTTGGAGATGTTCTACCAGTCTGTTGTGGCCAGTGCACTTTACTTCTCTGTAGTCTGCTGGGGGAGCAGCATTAGAGCCGGAGACAACAACAGACTTCACAAACTAGTTAAGAAGGCCGGCTCCATCATTGGCTACAAACTCGACAGCCTGGTACAGGTGGTGGAGAGGACGACACTGAAGAAACTATTATCCATATTGGATAACCCGGATCACCCTCTCCACCACCTCCTGCAGGGACAGCGGAGCACTTTCTCCAATAGACTGATTCAGCTCTGCTGTCACAAGGACCGATACAGGAGACATTCCTGCCCACTATTGGACTGTACAATAAATCACCTCTGGCCAGATCATCCTTCCATTGACTACAACACTGCTAACTGTTGGTGATCCTTGCACTACTGTTTTTTACCTAGTTAGTTAACTTATACAATACTAGTTTATTGTATATACTGTGCATTTTGTTTTCTTTAAATTTTATTATATTCTGCTCCGTTATCTTATTATATATATTGAGGATCTTTCATCTTTTTACTCTGTAACTTCGTTTGCTGCTCCTACAAACAAATTTCCACCTGGGGATGAATAAAGTATACATCCATCTATCTTAAATGAAAATGACTTTCAGTGCATTATATCTTTACATAAAAATACAGATTTAAAATATTTTACTTTCTAAAATAATAATCAATATCATAATCATCAAATTCTTCACTTTGACTTGTTCCATGCAATTTCAAGCATTAATTAAAGCTGCGAGCAGCATTGATCGGGCCCTCGCAACTTCACGCACGTCAAGGGTACTAGCAGGACTCTGTGACGCGGCCATGAATATCTGTGACCATCACACTCTGCGTGCACGAGTGAGATATTTCCTGCGTAGACCAGCAGCGTAGCAAGATCATGTTGCCAGGTCTTAAGACTCAAATGTTTTGAGCGTACATCCGATTGAAGGCTTACATTTATGATTGTAAGCCTTCAGAGATCATTAAGAAAATCAGTGTGTGAATGTGCTTCAGCGTTTGTAACTTAACAGACTGTCAGTTTACTGGGATGGGATTCAACTCCCTGCAGTGTCCTGCTGATTGTATTTGGACTTCGATGAAAGTTAACAAAACAGTAGTGCCATTTGCTGTTACTTGAACACTTTAAATTAACACTGGTTTCATTTTAAGTTCTTCTGTAACTTTAGATTGTAGTGTGAAGCATTCATTGTAACATTTTACCTGATTGTCATGAAGAAGCTCTGGACAGATCATTTATGCTTATGCCCACCGACAGTGGCTTGACAACCACTTTTATCTAATTTCTGCTCTCCAAGCATCTTACTATGCACATATTTAATTTAGAGAAATCATTATTTTCTCATGGTGTACCCACAAACCCTTTTAATAAGTTCAGTGTTTGGGCCGCTGTAATTATAGAATCCTGCTTACGTCCGTGCTCATCAGTAGGTGGCGCTATGACTATGAGTTAATATTGGCATGCAGAAGTCCTAAAGCCATGACAGTCAACAAGCATGTCAAGTTTGGGACAGTTTTGACAAAGTACAGTCGAGTTACAACAGCTTGATGGATGATGGTGAACCATGTAAATTGGCCATCACACCATATCCACGTCGTTCGATGAAACCTAAAGCTGTTTGTAACTTTTAAATCGCTAAGGTCTTTAGATTTTTCTGACCAAATTCTAAGCTGATCAGATTAATTCCCGAGGAGTTCGTAGTACAGCACCTGGAAATGGAAGAAAAACACGAGAAATTCATACAAAATTCAAAATGGCTGACTTCCGGTTGGGTTTAGAGCATGGCCCCAAGAGACTTTTATTTAAGTCCATATGTGATACCTATTCCTACCAAATTTCATACATTTAGGTCAAACATACTGCGAGGGCTGCTTCGTCGAAATTTTGTAGGGGGCGCTATTGAGCCGATTTGCCACTCTGAACCAATAAAATCATATTTTAGAACTACATTTCTGGCTTTTAATCTGCTTGCCAAGTTTGCTTATGTTCCGAGCATTTTTAGCCTCTCAAAATTACCTTCGTTGTTAACGGCGTTGGACGAAACATCAAAAGCTTCATGAACTGGTATTATGAACTTCTTATATTTGTGTGGAACTAATTTGATTTACCTACCAAGAGAAACAAGCCAAAGTATAAAGACTTTAACTTCCTGTTACCAGTAGGTGGCGCTATGAGTGATTCAAAATTGGCCTGCAGATATCTTCAGGCCTGGAGTCTAATCAAACATGTGAAATCTGGTAAAGATCTGTTGTGGAGTCGAGTTACATCAGTTTATTCATTCATGGCGAAGGATCGAAATTCGCTGAACCGCCACGTCGCCGCCCTTCAACAACTTCTTACGATTTTCACAATGAAGCATTATCAAGGTCTTAAGGCTTTTCTGACAACATTTTAGAGGGATTTGATTAATCTGTGAGGAGCAGGATGTCAAAGTACAAAACGTACAACTTCCAGTTGCCACTAGGTGGCGCCATTACTATGATTAGATATTGTCATATAGATGTGTTCCGGGTCAGGATGTTATGACATGAGAGATTTGGAGCAGATTAGACAATGTACGGCCGAGTTACAACAACTTCCTCTTTCATGGCGAATGGTGTTTTGTTGACGCCACGGACACAGTTCGATAACTTTTTGATCCTTGAGTAACTTTTCACTGCCAAGGTCTCAAGAGCATACTGACCAAATCTGAAGTCGATCGGGTCAAATCTCTAGGAGGAGTTCGTTAAAGTACGACGCCTTGAAACGGTCCAAAAACGTCATAAAAGTCAAAATGGCCGACTTCCTGTTTGGTTTAGAGAAAAATTCCAAGAGGATTTTTTGTACGTCCCATCATGATCGACATACCTACCAAATTTCATACAACTAGGTGAAATCCGGTGTTGGGCTACTCAATAGGGGCCGCCATCGAGCCAATATTTCATACCGCAGCTGGACACCCCAATTTTCACAAATTCTGTCTTGCGTGCCAAATTTCACAAAATTCCCAGTATCCCAAGCACCTCCTTTTTGCGCCGAAACACGGAAAATAATAATAAACAATCGAATAACAATAGGTCCTCCGCTCCGACTCCGATAACTTTACTTAGATTATTTATGGGGCCACTATGAGGCAGCAGAACAAGCTGTAAACACAACATGGACATGCAGCCTGATGGGTCCTTTTCACAGCAGCCATTTTGACACAGGTCAAAATAAAACAAAATGTGGGCCCATTCTTTCTGGTGTGTCACAGTCATTCCAGTGAGCCAGCATCCACAATACCAGGGCCATGGCCCACCTACATGAAACAGGGCCGTAATCAATGTTAGCAATTGTACCTGGGTTTACCCTGCAATCACATGTCAAAATGGCTGCTGTGAGAAGAGCGCATCATTGCTAACTTTTTCTGTCTGCTCTTTGGTGCTGGGCAGGTACGGTACAGTGTGTTGATCAGAGCTTTGCCACTGAAAACTAATTCTCTGTGGTTTCCATACTCTCTGCAACTCCCTTCACATTACAAGAAATGATTTGATCCATTGTGAATATAAAACATCAATTAGTGCAGCTTGATGTAAAGAAGAATTTAAGCTTAAACCTGATGATACATCAATTACTTTACCTGTCCATCCTGTTAATGTCTGAATTAGCAGGAGCAACAGCATTCCACAAGTCCCCCTCATCATGGGCCACATACAGGAGATAGGACAAAAGAGGCACTTTGACAAACTGCATCAAAGCTGACTCTTCTGGCTTGCTAAATGATTGACTCCAATCCTAACACAGGGTACATCCCAAGTCTCTTTATATGCCCTTTTCACAGCAGCCAATCTGACACATAATTGCAGGGTAAACACAGGTGTGATTGATCAAACTGATGAAGGTCCCATTCTATTTAGTTTCAAATTCATTCCAGTGAGCCAGCATGCACAATACCAGGGCCCCAGCCACCTAAATGGAACAGAGCCATTTAAAAAAAATCACACCTGTGTTCACCCTGCAATTACATGTCAAAATGGTGGCAGTGAAAAGGGCCTATTGCATCCACATTTCCCTCAAATGCAGCTTTTCCTCGCGTCTGGGAGTACATCCCAAGTCTCTTAATTGCATCCCCGTTTCCCTCACTTGGGTCCTTTCCGTTCGTCTTAGTCCCTCCCACCAGGGATGCATGGAGGAAATCATGCGAGGAGAGAGGAAACGAGGAAATATGTTTTAAGATACATGAGACTTCCCTTCCTCAGTTGGGTCACGTGAAGCGACCTCTGTTTCTGATGACGGCTCTGATCACAGCTGGATCAGCTGTCAGTTGGCTTTAACAGCTGGAGAGACTTTAGAAAAGTTTGTGTCCGTTTACGTGATCACTGTACTTCAGGGGTCTTCAACGTTTTTCAGGCCAAGGACCCCCAAACTGATAGAGAGATGGAGCAGGGACCCCCGACTATATATATTATATAAAATTGTGTTTTATTTTAAACTGGGCCTAATGCCATGTATAAACATACCTCTTTATTGTGCATTCAATACTAAGCTATTCAAATAATACACAGGTTCATATATTCATGTGTTTATTTCAAACATGTGCAAGGTACAGTGAGCAGGGTGGCCGTGCCACTGCCATTTATAAACATACCTTGTCAGCTAATACCAATGCCAATATCAACATTGTCTGTCAATTGCATGATAATCATGCATACAAGCTATTGAAATTGACGTTTTTATTTCAAACATAAATGTGGAAACGAAAATGAGTGATGGCCTATTAGTGCTACTGCCATGCATAAACCTTCCTGTTATCTTTCATACAACACTGAACTATTAAAATAATGGACACATTCATGTTTGGAAAAGAAAAAGAAAAAAAAATTAAATTGTCTAATCAACCAAATATTTTGCGGACCCCCTGTTGAAGACCTCTGCTGTACTTAATAATAGTAACTGATAATACTAATAACTAATAAATACACACAGTTATCATCGCTGTCAAAGTGTTTTCTCACTATTTTCTGTTACCTATTTAACAAACTGTGTCCTGCTGATAAGTGCAGGATCGATTTCTACCGGTGGAATTCATTTTTCACATTCATGAATTATTTGTGTCTGTATATTTTGAAATTGTGATTGTGACATCATTATTATATAATCCAGAATAATGATTATGGTTTCTCTTAAATGATATAACTCATCAAACCAGAAACTCTGGAATTATCAGCCTCACCTGACTGAATGAAATGATAATAAATTATGTAAAACATGTCTCTCAGCGCTCTCTATATATATATATATATTATATTTATATATATATATATATATATATATACATATATATATAAAATATATATATAAAGGGTTTAGTTTATCCAGCTCACTCTGACTTTATTTGTATCCATAATCAAAGTTATTGAGGGAAATATCAGATCATGAAAAAAAGTTGTTTGTGGTTCTTTTGTTGTTCAGTTTACACTGAACATATATTTAAACCAGATGGTGAATCAGAAAACAAATCAAATATAAAGCTAGAGTTTAATCTGATCTGTCTTCACTGTTTACATGTTGAAAAAAATCTCATCAATCCGATCGGCTGCAGCGTCCAATCACATATCTGATGAACAATGAGGGGGCGTGTCGGCCGTTAAAACACTTCCTGGAAGGCTGTTCTCGTGCATCCTCGCTCATGGCTCCTTGGAGATCCCTCCTCCCTCCTCCCTCCTCGCTCCTCCCTCCGAGCTAAATAAGAGCTTTGGGACGGCCGTCAATATGGCGGCACAGAACAACTTCCGGTTCAAGCGAGGAGCGAGGAGATGACAATTAAGAGACTTGGGATGTACCCTGAGTCCCTCCCACCAGGGGTGCATGGAGAGACGCAAATAAACCATGGGTACATCCCAAGTCTCTTAATTGTCATTTCCTCGATCCTCGCTTGAACCGGAAGTTGTTCTGCTCCGCCATGCATGCAGCCGTAACTGGACACTCAAAATAGAATGCAGTTTGCTGCAGAGGAATGCAATATCGGCTGTGGACAAACAGAGAGATGCTGCACACAGACGCACATGCTGCACCGATCGCATGATCATCCTGGCGGAGATAACAGGAAGCCAAGTGGATGTATTGGAAATACTCAACATGCCGTCGCTGTAAAAATGGTGTGCCTCAAGGATCAATACTGGGTCCTATTTTGTTTAGCTTGTATATCAATGACCTGCCTTTAGTCTGCCAATCTGTCAACAAACAAATGTATGTTGAAGACACTGCTCTATTGAACTAACGGCAACCATGGACTCCATGCATCTGGTTTAGCAATTAATGCTTACGGCTGAACATAAAGAAACCTGATGTTTTTATTAAGTAGAAAAGTTCAAGGTGGTGTCGGATTTTAAATATTCTAGATTTGAATGTGTGCACGTCAATGAGATGGCCAGTGCTATCAAATTCAACTTGGCTAACTTTAGGCATACGCGCAATACCCAATTGGCACTGCGGTTTTGCCTCACAATTTGTATGTGCGCTGTGTGATGACAGTTCTTTATACACACATGCAAAAACCGAAAAGCTGCAAACAAACAAACTGCAACCATGGACCAAGTTTGTTAAGAAGAAGAGCTCAAGGTGGTGTCGGATTTTAAATACCATTCTGCTGAATCTGTTTAGATCTGTTTAAAAAGCATGTCAATAAGATGGCCAGAGCTATCAAATTCAACCTGGCTAATTTTAGGCATATGAGACAATACCTAGACAATGGCAGCCAGCCTCTTTCTGCATGCTATCATCTTCTCCCACATAACACATTGTTTTAACTGGTCACAAGCAAGCATGACTACTCAGAAACCAATCAAATACCTTTACAAACAAAAAAGACTTGACTGTATGGCCAATAGCTATCACCAATGCCAATGTTTTTTAAAAAGAACAGTTTTTAACATTTTGCAGATGCTTGCCTCATCTTTAAGGTTTTACATGTGTCACGAATTCCCCTTCATATTAGTTTGTTTTCATCCTGTCTGCTTGTTTTATTAACTCTCCTGTCATTTCAGATCCCACCATTCACACCCGATCATCTCTCATTCCCCTCACCTGGTCCTCCACACCCATCTCACCTGCAGCCCATTCCCTCATTAGCCCTCACTATTTAGGTCCCCTCACTTGCACTTGTTCCCTGCCAGATTGTCTTGTGTGTTCTTGCCAAGTTCTCCAGCGTACCTTTATATTGTTCATGATCTGCCTGTTCCGACCCTGTCTGCCTGTTTTCGACCTTGGATTTTTGCCTGCCCCTTATTGGATTTGTTCGCCTGTTTGACTGACCTCCCGGTTTTGACCCTGCCTGAACTCAAGTAAAAGAATTGAACTTGTATTCTTGTCTCTGAGTTGTGTTTTTGGGTTCAAGTACCTGTAATCCTTACAACATGAGCTTGCACCTTCCACACTGACTCAGTTCTCAATGCGCAAGGATAGCACCGGCAGGGTCACCTGCCAGAGGGGGCTGTGTTGTACAAAGCAGGTGGAACAAGTTTGGCCAAACATTCTTCTCAGTCAGAGCCACTCACGACTGGAAAAATGTATAAAGAGATTGAATTTAGTGAGAGCCCTGATTTCCTATAACATAAGCTGAAGAGATGGCTTAAAGCAAACCTAACTGGCAATCGTACTACCTTTCCTCTACTGTTACACGTATTGTTTTTATATACTTTTACTTTTGTAATATATTGATGTATTATATTGTACTGTGTTGTATTGTGCTTGCCACTCATTTGTAATAACTTGCCTAGGGACATATGAAAATAAGCTCAGTAGTTTAACTTGATGCAGGCAAAGGTGACTACTGTGTGCAAAAGGAAACAGTACATGCTATTGTACTGCCAGAAATATGAGGGGGGGAAACCGGCAGCTAATTGAAAACCTCAGTAAATTAAAAATACATTTTGATCTAATTGATATTCTGCAAGAAGTATGTTTTATTGAATACTAATTCAGTATAAGTATTCAGTATTATTATTTATTTAAATGATGCAAGTACCAAATGTCCCGATCCTGCGGTAGTGCACCTTTCACTGCATGCCATCCGCCATAAAACAAAAAAGAAGAAGAAGAAGAAAGAAGACGTCCCGATCCACACTCTATACCAGTAGGTGGCGGTAATGCACCTCAATATTTGCCAACCGCCAATAAACCCCAATGAAGAAGAAGAAACCCCCGAAGAAGAAGAAGAAGAAGAAGAAGAAAAAGAAGTGGAAACATGGCGGAGAGGGAAGCAGGTGATAGCGAACCGACCACGAAATCACCTGAAGATGAGAGCTCGGAGTCTAATCCGTTTCAGCATGCCCAGGACCTCAAACGCGTCCTGGTCACCAGCGTTTTAAACCTGGAAGAGCTCGACGTAGACCTGTACAGGTAAGCTGGGGGCAGTTTGTTACTTTACCTAAATGGCGACAGTTGCGAAATGAATTCTGAATTACCACGACTCACTTGACGTTACTTGAGAATACCCTTCAACTCGTATGTGTTTAAAAAAAAGCCCCATTATGTCTGATTTAATAATACGTAGGCTCTCGAAAACCAAACTAATATGGATGCCCCATAAGAACCAACTGCCGTCGTTTAATGCAATTGAACCCCAATTCACTGGCGTTATATTGCCAAAGCACAGTGTTACATTCAATATAAAACAATGACGGGGGCAATTCTACAAATGTACTACTTACTTTTGTATTTTTAGTGTATTTTGTGGGAAATAGTTCCGTAAAACGGAGATTTCTCCACTACCTCTGCTGTTTACCCAGTATGGTCAAGAACACAATAAAAAAAGAAAAACCTTTTTAGAAGCTGAAAGTCAGCACTTGCATCGAATGAGTCCTTTTCAAAACCAGAATATGTCTATCCAGTTACTTACACCCACACTGGAAGCATGCAAAGGTTATAATGTCATTAGTTTACACTCCCATGGGCATGCTCAAGGGGGATAGAATATTGGAAAGCACCCATCAACACAATATCAATAAATACAATGTAGCTATACAACGACACCAGGGTTCAAAGTTTACATCTTTGAATGACACCTCGTTGGTACAGTATCTATGGGCAGTAATTCAATTCACAAAAACAGGATGCATTGTATGGCTTTTGTATATGATGGTGATGCATTGGGCAAATACGTTGCTCCCTCTCACCGTCGGCCCTACCTCTAGTGAGGCTCCAGTACATATATTTAAATTGCTTCTCTATGTTTTCCCCCAGAGGGACGCACCACTGGGTGCCCCGCAGTCAGCGTTTGTTTGGGGGTCAAATAGTGGGTCAGGCCCTCGTAGCCGCCGCCAAATCTGTCGGCGATAATCTCTATGCCCATTCTATCCACTGCTACTTCGTACGGGCAGGTAAGACGTGGCGTCATTTTACAGGTGCTGGCCTCAAAAGGGGGCTCATAGTTGATTCAATAGATCTATGATTGAATGAATAAAACTACAGAAGGCTTGTGTCTCATCATAATCAATGAAATGATCTGGTAAATTGACTGCAGTCAGTCCCAGTCACCGTTGTTGTTTTTTTCAGGGGATCCTAAGGTTCCGGTGCTGTACCAGGTGGACCGCACGAGAGACGGTCGCAGTCTTGCAGTGCGCTCTGTGAAGGCCGTCCAGCACGGGCAGCCTATACTTACATGCCAGGCCTCCTTCCACACACTGGAGCCGAGTCCCATACAGCACCAGTTCACCATGCCGGTGGTCCCGCAGCCCGAAGACCTCCTCACGGTCGAGGAGCTCATTCACCTTTATCTCAGGTAAAGTTGCTGAGATTACGCAATTCATCGATGAGTCAGACGGCAGAAAATGCATTAAACTGTTTTATGTTATCGGTTAATTTGCCTCTCGAATGTGAAGATTTGCCGAATTTCTTTGTCATGTGTGATCATGAACTGAATACAATGACTTGAGATGATAATGATCGATAATGGAAATACTCTTTAGCTGCAGCCGTGATCTCGGGTAGAATCAGTTTATTTTATTAGTTACAAAGCAATGTGAACAAGGGACTTGAATAGACACAAACATACTTGCACAACAAGGCCTACATGTCATTTGTATACTCAGAGGGTTAGATTAGAGGGCAGCGTTAGGAGTTAGTACATCTCACTAACCTATAAACACGGGGCACTTACACGTGTGTACAGTTGCACTCAAAACGTGTGTGTGTGTGTGCGCGTGTGTGTGCGTGCGTGCAGTGGGTACGGAAAGTATTCAGACCCCTTTAAATTTTTAACTCTTTGCTTCATTGCAGCCATTTGCTAAAATCAAAAAAGTTCATTTTATTTCTCATTAATTAACTCAGCACCCCATCTTGACAGAAACAGAAATGTAGAAATTTTTGCAAATTTATTAAAAAAGAAAAACTGAAATATCACATGGTCATAAGTATTCAGACCCTTTGCTCAGTATTGAGTAGAAGCACCCTTTTGAGCTAGTACAGCCATGAGTCTTCTTGGGAATGATGCAACAAGTTTTTCACACCTGGATTTGGGGATCCTCTGCCATTCTTCCTTGCAGATCCTCTCCAGTTCCGTCAGGTTGGATGGTGAACGTTGGTGGACAGCCATTTTCAGGTATCTCCAGAGATGCTCAATTGGGTTTAGGTCAGGGCTCTGGCTGGGCCAGTCAAGAATGGTCACAGAGTTGTTCCGAAGCCACTCCTTTGTTATTTTAGCTGTGTGCTTAGGGTCATTGTCTTGTTGGAAGGTGAACCTTCGGCCCAGTCTGAGGTCTAGAGCACTCTGGAAGAGGTTTTCTTCCAGGATATCTCTGTACTTGGCCGCATTCATCTTCCCTTCAATTGCAACCAGTCGTCCTGTCCCTGCAGCTGAAAAACACCCCCATAGCATGATGCTGCCACCACCATGTTTCACTGTTGGGATTGTATTGGGCAGGTAATGAGCAGTGCCTGGTTTTCTCCACACATACCGCTTAGAATTAACGCCAAAAAGTTCAATCTTGGTCTCACCAGACCAGAGAATCTTATTTCTCATAGTCTGGGAGTCCTTCGTGTGTTTTTTGGCAAACTCTATGCGGGCTTACATATGTCTTGCACTGAGGAGAGGCTTCCGTCGGGCCACTCTGCCATAAAGCCCCGACTGGTGGAGGGCTGCAGTGATAGTTGACTTTGTGGAACTTTCTCCCATCTCCCTACTGCATCTCTGGAGCTCAGCCACAGTGATCTTTGGGTTCTTCTTTACCTCTCTCACCAAGGCTCTTCTTCCACGATTGCTCAGTTTGGCTAGACGGCCAGGTCTAGGAAGAGTTCTGGTCGTCCCAAACTTCTTCCATTTAAGGATTATGGAGGCCACTGTGCTCTTAGGAACCTTGAGTGCTGCAGAAATTCTTTTGTAACCTTGGCCAGATCTGTGCCTTGCCACAATTCTGTCTCTGAGCTCCTTGGGCAGTTCCTTCGACCTCATGATTCTCATTTGCTCTGACATGCACTGTGAGCTGTAAGGTCTTATATAGACAGGTGTGTGCCTTTCCTAATCGAGTCCAATCAGTTTAATTAAAGACAGCTGGACTCCAATGAAGGAGTAGAACCATCTCAAGGAGGATCAGAAGAAATGGACAGCATGTGAGTTAAATGAGTGTCCCAGCAAAGGGTCTGAATACTTATGACCATGTGATATTTCAGTTTTTCTTTTTTAATAAATTTGCAAAAATTTCTACATTTCTGTTTTTTTCTGTCAAGATGGGGTGCTGAGTGTACATTAATGAGAAATAAAATGAACTTTTTTGATTTTAGCAAATGGCTGCAATGAAACAAAGAGTGAAACATTTAAAGGGGTCTGAATACTTTCCGTACCCACTGTATATGTATATATGTATATGTATATATATATATATGTGTATATATGTATGTGTATGTAAATAATCAGTACTCATTGAAACCACTTGTAGTATTTGTTGTGTTGAGCTATTTATATTGTACTTGTTTGTACATTTTGCCAATAAACCTCATTTGCAATGTGGGTTGAATCATTTTGAGTGCAACTGTATATTTGTTAAATAGTCAGTTTAAACAAATGAAACTGGTGGTTTCATCATGCAGTTAGTTTTCTATTTATTCCTGCAGAGGTTTTATGATTTCTACCATCAGTCGAGTTGGATTGAAGACTTTAAAACTTCTCTGTGCTCTAGTGCCATCTGGTGGCATTGGCTGGAGGGCAGTTCACTTGCTATCCCTTTCCTCTTTGGATAATCTCATACATGTGAATGATGGATTGACTCCATTTATTAAAAATAATTAAAATGATCTTTGTTGTTAATTATACTCGGGGGTACAATGACATTTCTCAGGCTTCTCCTGACGTAAAATAAATACTGTAAATAAAAACGTGTGTGTGTGGATTCAAAGTTGTCTTTTCTCTGTTTATTTGCTTGCAAGGGAAGAGTATACAACAGAGTACGTGTGTGGTAAAAACTTCAAAATATGTGACACACAGGCTCCTTTATTTATACAGCAACAAGTTAGATTCAAAGTGCAGCACTCACGAGGGCTTGTCTGTTGTATCCAACTGACTTTTCACAGCTTCGATACATTCAAGGTAACATGAGGTGTTTTCAACCACCGAGTTCTGATTAGTCTGCACTTTATTTACTCCATGTAAGGAACAAGTTGTTCTGCCAATCTGTAAGCAGTTTTGCTACTTTTTCAGTAGCCATTTTCCTTAATAGATGACGAGAGAGACAGAGAGAGACTAAGATTAAGAGCAGCTCCATCAACAGCAAACGCGTGTTTGTTGTTATAGTTGGCGGTCCCATTTTGTGATCCTGATCTGTATTTCCCCTCTACTGGTCCACAGTGAACCAGACCTAGAGGAGACATCGAAGCAAGGCCTGAACAAACTGCTGGCTAATGAGGTCCCCATAGAGATGAAGCCAGTCAACCCATCGCACTCTTACAGACGCGCTGCAAGTGAGCCGAAGAAGCTGTTCTGGGTGCGCGCACAAGGGCATATCGGTAAAGTGGATGAAATGCACATTTGCATTGTTGACATTGCGAGTGTTTAATAGCATTTATGCTACACTGAGTAATAGAAAGGTATTCTCCTTTACATTGCCTTCTGTTTGCCTCTTGACTTTAAATGTGCCTTTGGGGGGGCGATGAATGACTAAAGCAGCCAAATTAGGATACAGCATACAAAACAATGACATATACTGATCATATACAAATGGAGGCCTTGACTGTTTTTGGCTCTCCTCTTTTGTCTGCTTCAAATCCAAAATTGACGTTGAGAGCAACTGTGCCATGTCTCATTATCAACCCCCAAAATAAACATAAATTTACTAATAAACAAACGCAACGTGCACATACCGCTTCCACTGAAATTTGATCTCTGCTCGGCAGTAAATTGCTAACGGACACTCATATAAACAAACACAATATTACGTTGATTAGTCAAATAGATTTTGCCGGTTTGCAGCAAAATCAAACCGGTTTAAGCTCGTAAGTAGTCGCAACTCTGCCGCACTGGACTCAAGCTGGACTTTTTGTTGTTCGTGCGTTACCTTTTTGTGTAATGTTGTTGTAATGGTTTGTGGTGTCTGCACCAAAACAATTACCACCAACTATGTTGCATGACAATAATCCAGTATCTTGCTTTAACATTTAGAAGCTAATAATGTCCACACTAGGCAAATGATATTGTAATCGCGAAGAGATTGACTGAAAATGTATACTACTACCTAATCAGTGTTTTATTTGTGTGTGTATGTATGCAGGCGAAGGCAACATGAAGCTGCATTGCTGCGTTGCTGCCTATGTGTCCGACTTTGCGTTCCTGGGCACGGCGATGCTGCCCTATCCCAACTACAAGGCCCAATTCTCGGCCTCCCTGGACCACGCCATATGGTTCCACAGCACTTTCCGCACCGACGAGTGGATGTTGTACGAGTGCGAGAGCCCTTGGGCAGGTCGGTGTGTCGTTCACTTCCCTATCTGCTGTACTCCGTTTGTTGTGTCTGGAGATCCACCACAGGGTCTTAATGACCTGGTGCTTTCCTCACCCTGAACTCTTAAGATCTAGGTTCTGCTTGGTTTTGCCTGTTTGTTTTTAAACCAGAATGGTTCGTTGATATTGAGAAGATGACAGCTGAACCTGACGCAGACGCTAGTGGCTCCGTTAGCTCTTTCATAAACAAACATATGTTAATGAAGTTGTTTATTAATGCAACATAAGCTGGATCGAGTGCCATCCCGCCATCTGCACAGGTTGCTGGTGTAGGTTACTTTTTAATTTGCATAGAATCAAACCCATTGAAGCTCGTACGCCGAACCGAAGCAGCCAAAGGGGGGACTACAGTGGAAACCTGGGACAATCGCTACACCCCACGTTATGTAGGTCACACTTGCTACATACAGTATATGCACATGTAGTTATACTGTTTGTGTTTACAGTGTTTTAGTTATTGGTCTGCAGAGGCTTTCACAGTACTCTGTTGCACATGTTTGTGCCGATTGGCAGAAGGATCGTATTTTGACACTTTTTTTTTTAACTACGTCGATGTTCGGGCAGTTTTAACTAACTTCCTATCGGAGCTAAGATGTTATTTAATTAATCTCTAGACTCTGCGCCCAACTCATCAATTTAACGATGCTTCTGGAGGAGCAGCATGTCCGCCTGCCGAGTCCCGTTTACCGGGATGAGTGGACTTTAAATCCTTAATGACACCATTTCGCTGTCTCTTTCACACAGAGGGAAAAAATATGATGTGTTATTGTGGATGGTAATTATGGTTGTGTTGGATTAGCTTATTAATTCAAGTGCGTGCCTTGCTGTGGCAAGCGGGAGGGTTTTTGACCGCAGTAAAAAATTTTCGAATGTGGTTGGAAGCAGACTGTTTCGTTAGATACAGATTGTGGAAATAAACCCTGTGTGTGTTTGAGAGAGTGACAGAGAGGGAAGAACGTTTCTTTAAGTTATTGATTATCATTTTAATGTGACTATTCAATACAGCCCTAGTAATGCATATGAATTTCAATGTGATATTAAAGATACGGTAAACATGTTAAACGGAACACCACGCTGTGATATTGTGGAACCAAGCACAGACAAACCGTTGTTTAAACAGTAGAGACATTGCTATATAATATTGTTTTTAATGTTACAGTATTTTAAGTAAAATGTCTTTTTAAAATGTTTCACTTTTCAAATTAGATTACACTTTGGTTAGGTCTAAATAGCTGTATTTGTACATTGGGCATTCTACATGAAGTCCAGCATGTGGTTTGTGTTGTGTCCTGCAGGGGGCAGCAGAGTACTGGTTCACGGCCGACTGTGGAGGAGAGACGGGGTGCTGGCTGCCTCGTGTTCACAGGAGGGTCTCATGAGAGTGACACCAGTCACACAGCCCAGCAAACTTTAAGCACTTTCATGCTTCACATTCTTATATTTTTGTAATTCTAATCGTATAAATATTATTTTAAACTAATGTTCAGAATGTTCATTTATAACAAATGCTTATTTTATTAACATGCTAAAATCTAAAAAAAAATTCTCCAATCAATAAAGATTAAAAAGGTTTTTAATGGATGAATGCTTGTCATTTGTTAGACGAGAAGTGTTTCTCATAAAAAAAATGATCCCAAAGCTTTAGTCATTCTTTAATCAAACAACTTCAAGATGAAATTCTACTGTAACGACTTCGCTGTAACTTTTGAACTGCCGTTGTTCTAAAAGTTCAAACACTTTTTTTTTGAATGATCTAAAAGTTCCTCAAAGTAGAAACTTGGATGGCATAACATTTGTATGCCTGCCTGCACATGCTATACCGGCAGCTGTCCCCTCCTCCAGTGTGTTTTTTCCCCCCTAATTGCCTGTAAAGATCTGCCTGCTAAAGAGAAGAAAGCAAATTGATGCAATGTAGAGAGGACCGCGAAGGAACGGCCTGATCCACCAGTATTGAGTGAAAAAACTTAAATTATTGTGGAGGACAGTCAAGGAAATGTACAACCTGATCCACCAATGGGAAATGAAAAAGTGCAATCATCGGAGAGCAAGAAAGTCTGGAAAATGTACAGACTGATCCTCCAGGAGAGACTTTGAAAGAGGAAAAGGTTGTGGAGCAGGACAGGATGACACTGTACAGATTGTTCCTTCTGCAATAGTACCTTGAAGTCCAATCACTACATGTTTTTTGACGAGGCGGCAGATTTGAAGTGCATAATGCTTGAAGACAAAATGTTAGCCAAGAACTTCTGGACTGTAGTGTACAGTATTCTGATAGTATTCTGACAGATGAAATGAGGATATCATATTGGATATTATATGTAAAGATGGGTCTTTGGCTCTTTGGTCTCTTCCAGGTCTCGATCCGGATCAGCCTCCCAGGATTCACCATTTCTATTACAATGTACCGAACAAAACGAGAATTTCATAATGACAGGCCACGTCCCAGGTCTGGGTTCGATGTAGTTGAGATGTTAACAGATTCAAATTGATTTTCCTTTATTTCCTTTTCGAACTGCTTGATGAAATCTACATTTTCTTGAAAAAAAAAAAATATATATATTTATATATATATTTTTTCTGTGACGTGATTATCATTAAAACTATTATAGGGGATCATTAAAGCTGTGGTGACTCTTTGGATTTATCTCAGTATATTTCCTGTTTTCGTAAAGTCTAATTGCATTCTATCATTTTAGTTCAGCAGCTGACGAGGGCAGAGGATGCTTCATTTTCTGATAACATAATAAATCCAAATAGCATGTTCTATTTTAATATCCTTGATCTCCCTCCAGGGGGGAATGCCAATTTGAAGATCTGCAACATTTTTTTTCAAACATATTGGAATAAAGTTACATAAATTCTAAGGAAAGCCTGCCTATTTTTTGTCATGAATATGAGCACTATTCACAGCACACAGTGCCACGTGTTTCACTTAACGTGATCTCCTTCAGGAGAAAGTAGAGACTTCCTGTTGACCAGGGAAAACACTGATCATTTCGTACATCTACCACAATAACGTGTCTACGGAGACTATAATACTGTATAGCAAACAAGTAAGAATAGTATGTATCCCTAAACCTTGTGTCATTTGTAGATGAAAAAACGGGGGAATCGCCCTTTTCGTTCCGTCAACATACCCGTAATAACTTAATCGTACGCAACAATATCGATTCTTACGTGCGTTGATTTGTTTTTTCCCTCCCTACTTCTTGGTTGTTATGTGGTTAGCGCCCTTGGTTACCACTTTCCTCCCATCATGCATCACTGCTAACAGCTCGTGAGGTAACTTGGGCAACGGCAACCTTTCAATACAAGATAGCAGCTTTGCGGGTGTAAATTAATGTTATAGGTGGATAACACAAGATAGAAAATATTCACATTAATAGCAAACGTCGAATGCTAACGTACGGTAAGAATGCCTAGCTATTATCTAGCTGCATGGCTAACATAACGTAGCATAGAACGGGCTAGCTATGCTACCAATGTTTGCTAACAGGATGCTAGTTTCAAAACAACGCTTATCGTTAATTCACTTCAGTGACCAACTGACGTCAGTACAGCTTTTAATAAAGGCCAAGTATTCACGTTTGAACATGTGTCCTAACGCTATTCATAGTCAGGTAAAATAGTTATAACGCTTTCGTATTGGGGACAGCTCATACTTAATTAAATTGGATCTAACTTGGAGCTACAACCCGTTTCTAGGTGTGTGGTTGCAAATGAGAGTCGGCGTTGGTAAGTGACTTTAATAAAGGATGGAGAAGGAAGCGCACCACACTGTCGTCTTCAATGTTTCGAAGAGAGAGCTGTTTACGTCGAATAATGGCTACAAATCCATGCAGAAAAGACTAAGAGCTCAATGGAAAATCCAAAGGTAGGGTGTTTGCAGTGTAACACTAACAGTCTCTGCTGACTAGGGCGCTGTGCCTCGGATTAGACAACATTTGCCATAGTATTGCATTCATGTTGAGAAAAGCGCCCCAGTTGCAAAAACAAATGCTCCCTCTCTCCCCTAGTATGAAGGAAGAGCTGTCTTTGGAGAAGATGAAGGGAGTCAAGTTGTGGATAACTGCAGGACCAAGGGAGAAGTTCACAGCTTCAGAGGTGATGTATTGTGAAAAAGAACCAAAGCATGTTTTGTTAATTCCCACAGAACAGCACTTGGCGTGGGAGATAGTGCAAAGCTTAACAGCCGCATATAAATCAACTTCTACTGTGCTACTTTTAGCTTCTGCACACACAAGCAGGTTTTCACGGTATTGTCTTTCATTTTCAGCTGGAGGTGCTGAAGCAGTACCTGGACGGAGGAGGAAATGTCCTGGTCATGCTCGGGGAAGGAGGAGAAATGAAGTACGACACCAATATCAACTTTCTCCTGGAGGAGTTTGGCGTAATGGTCAACAATGGTGCGCATTTAAATTTGTATGGAATGAGAGAGGGTATCATCTGTGCAGTTAAAGGTATTTTTCTAACAAAACGGTTCTGTGGTGTCTTGTTTCTTTCCTCTGCATCCCTTTTACAGATGCTGTTGTGAGGAATGTGTATTACAAATACTTCCACCCAAAGGAGGCACTGGTGTCCAACGGTGTATTGAACAGGTTTGTCATCACAGCATGTGTTTTTCTCACACAAACACCCATTTTATACTGCATATTCCGATAAATCCCAGACTATTTGTAGCCTGTGTGTGTATCAGAATTCAGTTGTAATAATTGTGCTACTATTAAATGGAAGAGATTGAAAGCTGATGCACATTGTCTTGTCTTTTTCTTGTTTAGAGAGATAAGTCGGGCGGCTGGCAAAGTGGTGACAGGCATCATCGAAGATGAAAACGTTGGAAACAATGCACAGTAAATGCTTTACTTTCACATCTTTCACATCAGTGACCTGGAGGGTGTTTGAACTTAATGCCTTCCTGTCTTCATTTGTGCAGGGCTCTCACATTTGTGTACCCATACGGCGCCACACTGAGCGTGGTGAAGCCTGCTGTGGCCGTTCTTTCGACTGGCTCCGTCTGCTTCCCCCTCAACAGGCCAGTCCTGGCCTTCCACCAAGTAAAGGTCAGAGGCAATCTGTACTTTTCTCACACACACCTTGTGCTCGTGAGATGATGTTGAAAGACGTCTTGTGTCCCATGCAGGAGGCTGGCAAACTGGTAGTGTTGGGTTCCTGCCACATGTTCAGTGACCAATACATAGACAAAGAAGAGAACAGTAAAATCATGGTGAGTCCAGTTGGAATTTAAAGATTTTTTTTGTTTGTTTGTTCAACTAACACATCAGAAGAGTGTGCTGCTCTCCAGTGGAATTTGCCAGTGTTCAGTTGTACTTTCTTCGTTCCAGGATGTTGTGCTCCAGTGGCTCATGGCTGATAATATTCAGCTGAATCAGATTGATGCAGAAGACCCAGAGGTGAGGAGGTATACTCGACAGGAGAATCCCCCCCCCCTCGTCTTTTTAAGTAGCCAACAATCCCATCTTGTGTCCCCTAGATCACAGATTACAACATGTTGCCGGACATAGGGTGTTTGTCGGAACAGCTCAGAGTGTGCTTACAGGAGGGCGACGAAAACCCCAGGGACTTCACCTCGCTCTTTGACATGTCTTTGTTCAATTTGTCAACCGACACTTTGCCCCAAGTCATCAGGTGAGAATGCAAGAGGAACAACCTGGAAGGCTATGCTTGCGTCACTGCTCCCCCCCCCCCCCCCCCTTCATGGCTAAAAATACCCCAAATATTTTCTGCAGTGCCTACGAGCAGCTTAATGTGAAAGACGAGCCACTTCAGCTGATAACGCCACAGTTTGAGACGCCTCTGCCTCAGCTCCAACCTGCTGTGAGTTTCAGTCCTGCATTCATGACCTCATGTTCTTCCATGCATACAATTTGTCATTTTTCGAGCAAGGGACTCCAACCTTTTTTCCTCTGAAAGCTCATTTGACAAAACGAAAGAGGCGAAGAACTACTCTACAGCACCAAGTTGTACATCACCAATAGCTGCTATCGTTTCGGTCTTACTTTTATGGTCCTTAAATAAGCTCTCAGGCAACGCAGTCATTGCCTCTATTATGATTCAGAGGCAAAGGGCTTTTTGTGTTCCGTTAATCTTGAAACCAGCGTAACTCGTTTTACTGTCAAATAATCATGGACAGAAATTTAAACAGTTTTACAAAGTGAATTAGCCAGTTCATGTACATATTCTTTGAACCTTTAGCGAGCTACTTGTAGCTGTTTTAGAGTCTTAACTGAAATGTTAAGGCAACAGACATTTTTAATGTGGGTGTTGTCTCGTCCTTTAGGTCTTTCCACCTGCCTTAAGTGATCTGCCTCCTCCCATGCTGGACCTGTTCGACCTAGATGAAACATTCTCTTCGGAGAAAGTGCGCCTAGCACAGCTCACCAATAAATGTAAGTTCAGTACTTTAAGGGCTGTTAAAGGGATAGCGCTGATTCCATGAAATGGGGTTGTGTGAGGTAGGCTACTTATCCGTAGTCAGTGTACTACCCAGTTTGAAGAAACGAAGAGTAACATCAAAGCTAAGCAATGCGCTGCTGTGTGCAGCAGCAGAACGTATTTTAGACGGCTCAAAAACAGGACGACATTTCTGGTCTACTGCTGCGACAGACTCACAACTAACAGTTTTAAACACAAGAGTAAAACAAACTAACCAATGGAGGCAGCGATAGACCAGCAACTCCCGTGTTCTGAGTGGTAAAAATGCTGTTTTCAAAAGGAGCATAGATAATGGCTTCAGGTCCCTGTCTGAAAGGGTAGCGGCAAGGTAAAGCATTCGTCTAAATATAGCGTACACTTAATGTTTTCTTTTGGGTGGCTGAAATGAGTTTCTTACTAAGAGCGTGCCGACCGCCATTTACTGTAGATTATAGATAAGTACCTCATCTAACCCGTTAGGTACCGTCTTTTTGATTAAATTTTAAATCTATTCTTTAAAAAAACAAAAAAAGGTACGGACGACGATCTGGAATTCTACGTGCGGAAATGTGGTGAAATTCTGGGGGTGACTCCAAAGCTGGATAAAGATCAGAGGGATGCCAAACACATCTTGGAACACATTTTCTTCCAGGTTGTAGAGTTCAAGAAACTCAATCAGGTGAGAACCTTAAGACTGTTTACGGAACAGATTATGCATCGATGGCCTTATCTAAAATGACTCTTCTCTTTCCACCCCCCCTTGCAGGAGCACGATGCCGACACAGAGGAACCATTCACTCAGTTGTGATTGGATACAAGAAACATGTTAAAGATTTTCATCTCTCCTGCAGTCATACTGCGACATGACCAAGCAGATGGGACTATTCTTTCTTAAGAGGTGAAAGACTACAGCATCAACATGGATAGTGTAGTTTTAGGAACTGTATTTATTTTGTATATAATAGTTCTATTGTATGTCGCATGAAAAACTACAATACACATGCAAATAAAGTTGACACTTTTATTTAAATCTTTCGCATTTTTAAAAACACATTTTGAAGGCATACAGCGCTCTGCATGAATCGTCACACAAGAATCCTGTAATAAAAAAAAAAAAAAAAAAAAAAGACAGCTGAACACATCAGATGTCTTCCTTCCAAAGCTCCTCCATGCTAAGTGTGTGTTTAGAGGGACATTCTTGGCCACGTCAGGGAGAAGCTTCAGCTAGTGAATGTTGTGTGGACTGGGGTTTTGGACTCCATGTTGCCTCCAGAGCACTGGACTCCAGGCAGGGTTTGGGGCTGTTCTCAGATTTAATCAAAGACACATCCCATGACATTTCAGAGGCGGTGAGATCACCGTACGACCGGTCAAAACCAGCGGCTTTTTTTGGCTTTCCGAGGAGCACGTGAGGAGTGGAGGAATTTGCCTGTAAAGGCACGGCCAGGTGACAGTTGTGGGTCTCTTGAGTGTTCAAGTTGTGCATTGAAAACGCCGGAGAGGGAGAAATGGGGTCTGACGACAGGCAGAGCGAGGCCAGGATGGACAGCCTGGGGTCGGATCCATCAGCAGTCATGTCGTTGGACGCCCTCGACGTGGACAGCTGCTCCAGCAACAGAGCAGACGGCAAACTCTGTTCCCCCAAGAACTTCCTGTCCAGCTCCGACGGAGAAGCATACTCAAAGCTTTTCATATCTAGGAGGTAAAAATGTGAGATTTCACTCAATCTCGTCATCTGATCGGACAAAAATCTATTTGTCCATCTTGAGAATGAAAGAAGTTTTCTTACCTTTCGTGACAAAAGCCTTCTCCATTGTTTCCTTGGGCCAGTGAGCGTCGACTGATCGCCAGCTGGTTTTAACCTGTTGAAGCTGCTTGTTAATTGATCCAGCTGGTGGCAAAGCAGGTCATCAGTCCGAGGGAGGTGGGGTAGCATACAGCCTGGTGGAGGTCATGAACACTTTTTTTATTTATTAAATATGTAAATAAAATGTTATTGGAATTATGTAATTTTGTACATTTCCTGAGCATTTATTCCTGTGGACACATGAGTGAAACAGCGCTCAAGATAAGAATTGACATTATCGATAAATGTATTGATTATTTTCTCCAATTGTTTAATTTGTCCATAGGTACTCTTTCAAAATTGCTTATTTCGAATGATCAGAGGTCCTAAACCTTTGAAACAACAAAGAGAGAAGCAGCACCTCTTTACATGTGAAGTTGTAAACAGGAATATTTAGTATTTTTGATTGGTAACTGATCGCCAATTCATTTTCAGTCCTTTGACTAATTGTTTTAGCTCTAATTGAAATTATAGCAACATATTGAATACTGAGATTTATAAAACAATTATTATAATAAATATTACAATTAACTTTTTTCCCGCTATAAATAATTTTCCATTCTTTTCCAACATTTTGATAAAATGATTATAATGTAGTTTAAACATGACAATGTACAGGTCTTGGTTCGTCACTAAATTGATAAAGTACACGTGGAAACAATATGACAACATAACCCCTTCTCATTAGTCTAAATTTGGTATTTGAATTTGTGTGGGACACGCGCGTCAGTTTAAGTTTTTTTTATTTTGAAGCTGTCATTGGAAGTCTCCTATCCGGGGCCGCCTGACACCACGCGCACGTCCAACGCGCAACTACGTCACCATCCGGTGTCTACGCTAGAGAAGGGCGCGAGATAGAAATACAGGAGCGCGGACAACCCGGGCGCTCCGCTCCAGCTGGCTAGTAGCTGCAACTTTACCATTCAACACCGTGCCTCCTTCACTGAACCGCCTCACGGAGACAACAAACGCGCGGAATACACTGATATATTACCAGATATACGTGCACATGACGTGCAACGGCTGCAGGACAAATCACCGCCTGACCATAAACAACAGAAACAGAGGGAAATGTCTTGGTGGCCGCGCGGGTAAGATGTTATTCTTTGTTTTCCGTAGCGTAAGCAGTACTCATTTTATTCAAGACGGATAAAACATTAACGTTTGACGCTTCGGCGTTGATGCATTCAGTTGGCTTTGGAAAAAGGTTTGCTTTTGGACATAATCTTTCCATTTGTGAGTACTTCACGGACTTGTCTGTGCCGCCCTTTTCCGGAGAATCGCGATTAAAAAAAAACACTACAGTATTTAATTTAACGTCAATCCCTCCATGTCTGTTAAATCACAGCGATCAATTCAACTAATACTAATACTGCACCGACTATGTAGTTTGCCATGCAGCACTTTATACGGATGAGATCGTCGCCATGTCCCAGGTAGCCAATAGAAGTAAACCTGATAATCAGGTCATCCTCGCCACACCATGATATGTGTCCGTGCTGCGTTCACCGTCAGCTTTATCGGTGCACATCACAGCGTTTTTCTTCCTCAGTGAAGATGGGGAGGACGGCATGCACCAGGACACCGATTCCGATGTGGCAGAGCAGAGAGATGGTGGCAAAGTGAAGGTGAAATGGACACAAGAGGAGGTGATTGTCTTCACACATCCCAGTAATTTGCATGTTGTCTCAACGACTCCTGCCCCCCCTCCCTGTCCATGTAAATAAAGGCTGTGTAGGACAAGGTAACATAAACATGCTTGTTTGTTTGTGTCAACAGGATGACAAGCTCAAGGCTCTGGTTCAAAAACTAGGACCAAGTGATTGGAAATATATCGCCAACTACATCCCAGTGAGTTAGATCATCCTTTTTGTTTTCGTGGTTGACAGTAAGCTTCGGGGTTTCCTTGACTTTTTTAAATGTATTTTTTAATACCTACAGAAATCTGATTCATGCTTGTTTTTGTTTTGCTCAGAATCACACTGAGCACCAGTGTCAGCACCGTTGGTTTAAGGTCTTGGATCCAGAATTGGTCAAAGGCCCTTGGACCAAAGAGGAGGACGAGAAGGTGAGTGACTCATTGGGTTTCAGTGCACGGGGGTTTATAATACGACTAAAACAAACCGTACGATAAGTCCTCGCGCACCCCTTGTCCCCTCAGGTCATAGAACTCGTCAATCTCTACGGCAACAAGCAGTGGGCGATGGTAGCCAAGCACCTGAAGGGCCGACTGGGGAAGCAGTGTCGAGAGCGCTGGCACAACCACCTCAATCCCAATGTGAAGAAGTCGTCGTGGACGGCGGAGGAGGACCTCATCATCTACAAGGCGCACTGCCTGCTGGGAAACCGCTGGGCTGAGATTGCCAAGCTGCTCCCTGGAAGGTGAATACACTCCAGCTACGTCAGCTCAGAGGACGAGTTTTTGATTAAAACCCCTCTCAGAAGGACTCATGTTGTGATGTTTTGTTCACAGGACGGATAACGCCGTGAAGAACCACTGGAACTCCACCATCAAGCGCAAATTAGAGATGGGCTTCTTTTCCGGGGAGGTCTTTAGGCCAAATGAACTTGAAGAGCTGTTGGACCGTGTAAATAAAGATGTGCAGGTGGGCTATTCATTTTTTTTTCATGATGTTCTCCTCTTAGATGGATGTAGGAGGATTTGAAAATAATTTATTTTTTTATTACACAGATGGCCAGTTGCTCCCAAGATGGCGCAGAAAAGGATCCAGAGCAGACGATGCAACCTTCGGTGAGCAACCAGTCACATCGATTTATAAAATATCGCAATTTAAATACAAGGGGGGCTTTGAATAATTTAATCTCCGAGAGTGGTTTGGAAAGAAACATCTGTATTACGCGTCCGTTATCGTGTTAGTGATGTAAGTATTGTTATAGATGTTTGTCATTTGCCAACGGGTTGCAGGAAACGCCCGTCTCAGCCGCGGTTAAAGCCGCATCCGGCGAAGTGGGCCCGTCAAAGGCCGCGTCCTCTCCGAAGGACGGCCTAAGTCCCAAGAGCGAAGCAGACGCCTCGGGAGAAGTGAACAGTACCAGCTGGGTGGTGGATAGCTCTGGCTTTCTCTCCCCCACTGGCCCAGTACTGAAGGAAGTGCTGGACATGGTGGACGGAGTACGTATCCCCCAATAACCAACAAATAGACACATCGCATAGCATTTAAATTAAACATGCATCTAATCGACAATTCTCCTATCCCGTTTTTTTTTTTTTTTTTGTTGCTACCAATGACAAATGGTACTTTTGAATATAAAGTTCAGTTGCATACAGACGAGGAAAAGATAATTTGTGCTGTCTTAATATGTATATTGTTATTGTTCCTCTACAAAACATGTATGTACCTCCTATAAAATATTTTTACTCCATATTTATCCAAAAAAAGCTTTATAGTGACTAGATGTCCGACTCACAAGTAAAAATGTCTCTTCTGCTACCAGGACCTGGATGGCTGGTGCAACCTAGCGGCCTTCGACCTGCCGGTGGACAGTCCGAGCCCAGAGCGCCACCAGTTTCGGCTGGAGGGCAGCGCCCTGCAGGAGCTGAGCAAAGGCAGCAAGGGCGAACTCATCCCCATCTCCCCCGGAGGGGTCACGCCGCCCTCCATACTGAACCGCCGGAGACGCATCGCCTTGTCCCCCGACGGCAATAACTCCATGACTCCCAAGAGCACTCCTGTCAAAATCTTGCCCTTTTCTCCATCTCAGGTAAGTTAGTAAATCCCGGCGCATTCTGCTTTTTTGCCGCGTGAGACGGTCCATTGACTCAACGCCTGTCGTTCCAGTTCCTCAACATGTTGACCAAGCTGGACACTCACGACCTGGAGAACCCGTCCCTCACATCGACGCCGGTGTGCAGCCAGAAAGCCATTGTTACTACACCGCTACAGCGTGAGAAGACCCCCCTCACCCAGAAGGAAAACTCTGCGTGAGTGGTCTTTAACTAGTGATGGGTTCCAATAGCTTGTTGCTTTTGTTTGTTGTTGGCGAAATATCTGGATTCATTAAAGTTACTGTGAGGAACAGTCTGAATTTAATGCTAATGCTTCTACGTGACCTACATAAGTAAACAAAACCATCAGCGAGATGATTGGCTATTTCTATATAGTTATTCCTCATGTTCGTCATCGGTGCTGCCGCATTGCTGGGAGGGATATTACCGAAGGGGATGAAGAATCTGAGCCAGGACTGAAAGGGACATATTATCAGACCCTGCTGCAGTAAAATAAGAGGTTTTCTAAAGGGACTCGGAATTTGAGTCTCTGTGTTCACATTTTGTCTTCATGTAGGTTTGTCACACCCAACCACAAGTCCGAGCTCTGTTCAACCCCGCGAACTCCGACACCGTTCAAAAACGCCATGGAAAAGTACGGGCCTCTGCAGCCTCTGGTGAGTATCTGTGCTTGTCGGTGGAAAGTTCACCTCGTGGTTTAATCAACACTGCATTAACACTTCTTTCTTTTTTTCCTGCTGTGTAATGTCAGCCTCAGACTCCGAACCTTGAAGACGACATAAACGAGGTCATCATGAGAGACTCTGGGATTGGCTTGGGTGGTGTACGCTCGACTCCGCCTGAGCAAAGGCGCAAAACGATGGTAACGGGGTCAACTCTAATACTTGACTGATCTGTTTGATTCCTTTAACCCCTGTTAACAGTACACCATAACATTTCTACATATTGGTGCTAGATTATAGAGAGCCAGCATGATAATAGAACCTCATTCAAAATAACATGGACATTAGTAATAATTAGCTAGCTAATGGCTAGCTAATGGCCACTGTGCTGTGCAGTGTTTTAACAGTTCATGCTAATTTATCTTATATATTTTAAAGATGGATAGTTAACTTGTAGAACAACAAGTTTTTAGAAAACAAATGAGGCATTATATAAATTTACAAAAGCTAGCATAACAGCAGCTAGCCCAAATGTGAAGTCAGGGTTCAGCATTCTGTAATGGCGCATGCTAACGGTTTAGCACCTTGTCATTTAATAATGAAGAGCAGGGGAAGTGTTTATATGATGGTTTGTGCTTATGCTCAAGTGTATGTCTGTTAGACTAAAACTGTAGATCGTCTGTGGAAGGTAAATCTTGGACAGTCTGACTGCTTGGGGATGTGGAATGCTTGCTGCTTTTGAGCCCCACACTGCTTCACGTCCACACATTCACACCGTGGAGCTATGCATTACAAGGACAGTCTTTCACTGTTGGTCAGCATACAGCTGCAAAAGAAGCGAATGAGTGTGAAATCCTGTGTTCATTCACTTCCTCCAACCAGATATTTATAGGGTTTTACTGCCTTGGCCATTCAAGAATGCTTTGAACTAATTATATAAATAAGGTTTAGCTTCCATGCTGTAACCTTCACAATGAAACCCTTTATTGAAAGTTCAATTCTGACCTCTTTCCATTTCTGCCTGGACCTATTGTTGTCGCTTTTATTCTAGGCAGAGACGTCATGATTGTCTTTCTTGTTGAAGCTACTAACTTAGCATTTGATTGTTTATTTTATTCCCAGCATCGGCCTCCTATGAAGAAAGTGCGGAAGTCATTGGCCCTGGATGCCGTGGACTGCCATGTGATGTCTACATCTAAACGCAAATCCCTTAAAATTGAAGCCAAACACGCAATTAAGGTAAACAAAAAAAGAGAAAAGAAGGCTAAACGTATTATAAGCCAGTCCGTAGATTTGACGCATCCTAAGTTGTTTTGTCCTCCTTTATTCCGACCACAGGAAGAGCCGGTGATAGTGTCTCTCAACACCTCGTCATTTTGCAGTAAGCAGCACGACAATATTTTGGACCAGGGCTTCCTTTTCGGACCCAGCGACAGTGCCATATTTCCCAGCACGGTGCCTCCAGTTACGGTAAGTTCCACGTTTGAAAGAAATGGATGGAAAAGTATTTTAATGTAGCTTTTTTTCCTGTTTTGACCTGTTCTTTTTCCTCTCTGCCTTCAGATGTCAAAAGAATGGGAGACGGTTGTTTGCGGACAAACTAAAGACCAGCTCATAATGACGGAGAAAGCGAGACACTACCTTCGCTCGCTAAAATCCCGCGCCCCCAACCGGGCGCTGATTCTGTCCTGAGACGTGTCTCGTCTTCACACCAACACGTTACACATGCAGAACTTAATGTTGCCGTTTGTCCCCTGTACCGTTTTGCCGTTGTAACCTGTGGTGTAGAAAAGCAGCATGTCATGTGTAGGTTTAGTACAGTTCTCATTAGCAATCACAACACTGACAATATATAGCCCCATGAATAATTTAAGGGGTGATTTTAGATTAAATCTCACTTAAATGGCCTCGTGCAAGGCTTGAAAAAAATCAAATCAAATAAATCGCATTTAATTGTATTGTCACTTAAAAAATCAAAAAGAGCAATGAACGTAGAATCAAAATAAATCACGTCCATACACTTTAGCTATCACTGAAACAACATGGTTTTACATTGCGTAATGTGTCAGTAATTTAAGTGTTTTTAAAGTTGTGAAGAGTACAAAGACTCCTTATCACCTCCATATCTTAAGTTCTGTTTTATGACGTGAATATGGAGTAAATTCAGACAGCTTGATCACTAATGCGTTTAGAGACATTGAAAATGTTAAGTGAATATTTTCTTGTAAAAATGTGTGTCTAGATTCATAATATACATCTCAATATGCAAATTAAAAGTGAGGTCTTAAGGGGGAAAATTGGGTGTCTGCTGGAAATGTAACAGTTCCCAGCAGCACATATCTTCTATCCATCAAGGAGACCTACTTCTGATCCAGCTGAGTGATGGATAGACTTGGGAAAGTTGTTGCAGCATCCATGTAGTGGCGATGTAATGGGGTCATGGATGCTGTACCAACATTGATGTTGAGAATATTATGTCAGTTGGCACTGTTTGTAAATATTTAGAGTTGTATGTTTTTACTTTGTATCGCAGCATTTTGTTAAGAAATTTAATAAAACACAATTAATATGTCCAATGCACACTTTCCTCCTGATTATGCTTCTGCAGCACAAAGCAGTGTATTTAACTATAAATTGGCGTTTAAAATATGTAATTTTACAATAGGTTTAGATTAGAATATACCATTTTATGAAATAAAACAAGCTATGGGCTAAATAATATTTTCTTAATGCAAAAAAGATATGCAATTGTAATACAATTATTAATAAACGGCGCATAACTTTAATATATTTGGCGTGTACCAATGAAACTATCATATTTATTTTGGCACGTAGGCTGAATTTATCTGACGTGTACTTACTGTAGCTTTTATTTTGAAACGTCAACGTACCGCCGGATATTATACCTTTGGTGACAGCTCACACAGACATACCGGAAGCAATCGTCAGTTTTAGTGACGCTGCATAAGACTGCAAGACATGGACCGGTCTCGTAAGTGAAAATTCTACTATACATTTCGAATGTAATGTTCGATAGGTATATTTTTTGTGATATTGACGTTTTGAGTGACATTATAGAACCGCCAATCGTAGAATTGGTGAAGCAGTAGCACCAGGTGCACGAAGTGTATTGCTACCAACCGACGCTAGCTAACGTTAGCTCGCCTTTGTAGCTTAACGTGCAATGAACGAGTGAGCGTTGTCTCAATGAATGAATACATATCGTCACAACAGATAGTACATTACAAAAGTGTAGTGTCTGCTCTCCGTGGTGGTAACGGATAAATACGCCTTTGTACCAGGCGGCAGGTTAACCTGTGTCCGCCCTGTGTTTGCAGGGCTGTTTGGGTTGTTCCTCCTCAGCCTGGCTCTCGCTGGAGCTCAGGCGCTCACACCGGCGCACTATCTCTCCCTGTCCGATGTGGCCCGACTGCAAAACCTCCTGAGCCAACAGTTCACCGATCTGGACTCTGCATACTACTCGGTCGTTGGTCTGACCAAGCTCGGGGAAACTGTTCCCGATCACGAGGTAAGAAAGTCCCACCATAATCAATAATTCCGATATAAACATTCAGTGATGATTCAACCTGGATATGACATGTTACATGTTGATCCTCGATGTTCTTTGGCTTAAAACGTGTTCGTGTTTGCAGGGAGTGTGCCAGTTTCTCAAATCCCAGCTGGATCCCTCTAACGTTGACTCTGTCTTCTTCGCTGCTGAGACCAGTCAGGCCATTTCAGGATGTGAGGTATGCGTGCCTCGGCCTTCTTATCTGTGCTGCTGCCATCCTTTCTATGCAAATGCTTCTATGCAAATGCATTATAATGTAAATAGATGGGAAATCTGCATCATTGCTTCATGGTCAAGATGTTAAAAACAACTTTTCATATGATGGCAGTGAGAGTAAAATAATAATATAAGATAACATAGACCGTAACGTCCAAATGGCAACGTGCACGATTGCTTTACACTGATGCGAACCACTTAGAACCAACTGTTTTTCTTCACTCCATAGATCCCCGTGTCCAACGAAACGCGAGACCTCCTCCTGGCGGCGGTTAGTGAAGATTCCACCATGACTCAGATTCACAGAGCCGTGAGCGCTCTCAGCTCTCTGGGGCTTCCTCTGGCCTCCCAGGAAGTTGTAGGTGCCTTGACCGGTCGCATCAACAAGGAGGACAACGTCATGGCGTAAGTGCCCGTAGTGTGTGTCGGGGAGTGCGCTATTGTTCTGTGTCCTCCTTGCCGTGCTCATGAGCAAATTTGATTCGCAACACGTGTCTTCTCTTCTCCGGACAGTATCACTTCAGCTCTGCAGACCGCAGCACGCCTGTCCCAGCAGGCAGAACTCGGAGGAATACTGGAGGAAATTGAGGTGAGCTCTTAAACCTCCACCAGGTGGTGCTGTGTGGCTGTGCTTTGAATTAGCGCAAGATGCACTTGGACTCTTAATCGTGCACAGATATTTTGAAGTTTTAACTCATATTTTACTTTTTCCCCTCTCAGGATCTTACGGCTCGTTTGGATGATCTCGGTGGCATCTACCTCCAATTTGAGGAGGGACTCGAGGCGACTGCCTTGTTTGTGACTGCTGCTTATTCCCTGTCCGATCATGTGGACATGGAGCCCCCTCTGAAGGAGGTACGATATCTGTCTGTCAGGCTTTTCTCCCCATGGGACCTTCCCTTTCTGAAACTGATGGGCAATGTGTTTTTCACTACAGGACCAGGTCATCCAGCTGGTGAACTCTATCTTCAGCAAGAAGTCCTGGGACTCTCTGGCCGAGGCCTTCAGCGTGGCAAGTGCCGCCGCCGCTCTCTCCAACAACCGTTTCCACGTGCCGGTCATCGTCAGTGCTACCGGCCCGGCCACGGTGTCCCACAGCCAGCCAACCCTGCAGGTACAGATTGTGGGATCTCAACCTGCCTACAGTCCTCCGAGTGGGTTTTAATCAGCTCGCGGTGACGCTGTTTCTCTCTGTGATTCACAGCTCCTTGTCACTGATGTCATGTCTCAACCGCTGGCCTTGGCCAACGTGCTGCTGGAATCTGCGTACGCCGTGGCCTCCAAGAGCATCATCCTCAGCCAAGCTCCATTCACACTTAATGAGTACGTTTGATCCGAGAGATGAGTGTTATACGCCCACACACAGTGTGGCAGAAATGCAGTTTGAATTGTAACATTATACAAATGTAATTGTTGAGCTTTTTATTGTTGACTGTGTGGATTGCATTTTACTAGATTACAGCACGGCCTGGTTTTGGTCAAATCTACACCGTGTTATATTTTCTTTATCTGATTTTCAGCGGCGTCTTTGAACTGAACTTCATGTCCAGCAAGCCCGCCAGCGGATATTACCAGTTTGCCGTTGCAGTGACTGGGGATACCCGGCTTGTTGGCAATCATGTTGAGGTGAGGTGCCGGTCAGAATAAGGAGACACAATATTTAACAATAGTGGAATGATTTTAATTAAGTTTTAAACATGTTTTGGGCTTTAATTGCCTTGGTGGAGAATGTGCTGCTGTTGAGTCAGAGACGTGGCTCAACGCTAACTCTTAAATTAGGTATTAGCTTTTGGTTGCCGACACTAAAAATGTGGTTGCAAATTTAGTCACCTTATATTTTGAGTAATTAAGATACTATGGAGTAATACGACATGAAGGAATACAAGCTTTATTAAAGAAACGGAACAAAAGTCTATTGTAGTTTGTGTTTTATCTGATACTTTCCAGAATTTAGTATATATTTTTAATTTGTTAAAAACTAGTTGCCACTGATGGCATCCACTTCCTCAAAATGGCTGCCAAAGGCAACCTGGCAAACCCTTCCTGTTGTGTCTGCAGCCTGTCCTGGGTCGACGGTCCATCTGAACATGATTGTAGTCAGATTGGTTTGCTGCTCTCACACCCGTCACCTGATGTAACTTTGTGTTGTGTCTCCGTCCGCCTGCAGCTCAAAGTGAAGGTGTCCACCGAGGTGTCCGTCACTAACATGGACCTCTCCGTGGTGGATAAGGACCAGAGCATCGGCACAAAGACCACCAGGTTAGGAAACGCGTCTGATAAGTGAGCCGACCCTGCGGAGCATGACGAGAGAGTACTAAATGCTTCCTTTTTTTTTTTTAATGACTCAGGGTGGAATATCCCTCCAAAGGCAAGAGCTCCTTCACAGCAGACAGCCACCAAAACTTTGCCATGGCCTTCCATCTGGTTGACGTCAACACCGGCGAGGAGCTTAGCCCTCACCAGGTATGTAACCCGGGTGGGACACGAGCACACGTCAGCCGCAGACGGTATTACGTGGTTGGTCAAAACAATCGCGAAAACATCTGCGACCAGTTTGTGGAATGGAAAAAAAGAGCTTTGGCCTCGCTCAAGTTTAAGACCTTTTTGTTTTCCCCGTCACAGACTTTCGTCAAGCTGCACAATCAGAAGACCGGCCAAGAGGTCGTGTTTGTGGCCGAACCCGACAGCAAGAAACTGTACAAGTTTGAGTTGGACACAGCGGAGCGGAAATCTGAGTTCAACTCCATGTCCGGCACCTACTCCCTCCACCTCATCGTTGGGGATGCCACTTTGGAGAATCCCATCTTGTGGAATGTGGTGAGTGTCCGTTCCGCCTTGATGCTGGTAATGAGGGCTATTTACTGAAGTGCTCAGCCACAGAGAAGTTAATGTTGAGCTCTAAAGTTGAGTTGTAATCTTTTTGAAAGGCTGACGTTGTTCTGAAGTTCGTGGATGAGGAGGCTCCAGTGGCCATTCAGCCCAAGACTCTTTATGTGCCCAAACCAGAGATCCAGGTAACACCTATTTACCTTTGTTTTTTAAATATCAGTTTCACTGCCCGATGATGGAAAATCAAGCAGCATCAGTCCCGCTGTGTAACATGTCGTCCTGTCTCTGCAGCACTTATTCAGGGAACCAGAGAAGAAGCCTCCCACGGTGGTCTCCAACACCTTCACTGCACTCATCCTGTCTCCCTTACTTCTTCTGCTCATCCTGGTAATATTTCAAACTAAAATGTTTTTTTTTTATGTTTTTATTTGTTGCCGTCATCATAAAGGAATGTTTTGACGTGGGGTGTAGTATGAGGTACTTACCCATAGTCGGTGTATTTACCTACAGTAGATGGTCACGCCTCTAGTTTGGAGGGAACGTTTAAGTTTACGCTATATTAAGAATATTTTCAGCACTTTACCTCGCCGTCAGGCCTTTGACAAAAACGGTAATTTAACCTTGGTCTACCGCTGCCTCGATCAGTCAGTTTGTTTGTGTTATTGTGCGACTTTGGTGTTTATAAAGGGTTAGTTCGGATTCACTAAAAGTCGCACAACAACAAACTAACCGATCAAGGCAGCGGTAGACCAGCAACGTAGTTCTGCAATGTAAAATGACTTTATGTCAATGGAGTCCTGTGGCTATGCAGTGAAAATATTGTAGATGTAGGATACACATAAACTGATATGGATTTAAATAGGTGTCTTAAATAGGTTTTACACAGCAGTATGTTGCTTTGCTCCCGTGTTCTTATTCCCATCAGTTTCTTCAAACCACGATCTACGACTGTGGTCAAGTACTTCACACAACCTTACCTTAAATAATCTGAACTCTCCCTTTTAACTGTAGAGCAACTTGGCTATGGATATAATTTAGAAACCATTTGTCTCATTTATAGGCCCGCCACCCAACAGACCTCCTTCCATTATTCATTAAACCTTTATTTGAATAGAGTATTCAGCTTTATTGTTGTTGTTGTATGCACAGTGCTCTAGTTTTTTTTTTTTTTTTTTTTTTATCCTCAGAAAAAGCTCTTCAGTAGTAAGCTCTCATAAACGGTGAATGCGGCTCCAGTACTGCGCAAATATAATGCTTGTATTTAATTTAGAAATCACAATAGCTTTTGGTGTATTTTTATCCGTGGCATTTTCAGCGCTGAGTAATAGTTATTGTTGCAGTGGATCAGCGCTTTGTGTGTTAGGTGGTAAACACTTTTTCAGCCCCTTTTGTTTGCCACTCTTGGAGGGGATGAAAATCACATTGTCTTTCATTCCCCCTCTCGTCTGTAGTGGCTGAAGCTCGGAGCCAACGTCTCCAACTTCACCTTCACTCCCAGCACCGTTCTGTTCCACGTGGGACACGCAGGTCAGTCCCCCGTCTCTCAAGTGAAATGTTCATCACGCATCTGATTGTTGCACGGCCTCTTCATCTCCAATTCATCTGCTGCCGTTCAAGACGATACGGGACTTGCAGCAACAACCGCGGCTGACATTGTGCAATTATCATCATTTATTCCACGCATACATTCTTAATATGAAACAACCGCAGCCAGAACATCTTAAGAACATGCACCAAGATAAACAATTGCTGGCGCTAATTCTCTAGTAAGGTGCCATCAAGCTATTGCAGAAGAAGAGGGCGCAATGTGTTGACGTAATTAAAGCGGTAGTGGAGAAACCTCACAGTGGAGAAGGTGATGGAAACAGGGCAGTTGTTTCTTGTATTTAATTAAAAAAGGTTACAGTGATTGATTTTTAAAGCACAAATAAACACACCGTGTGGAGCGCCCCACAGTTTGAACGTTTTGTGTGAAAACGCTGAAAGGGTTAAAGTTCTAAGACAAAAACACCGACAACTCCCAGACCGGACAACGCTTTGGTAGAGACCTGTCAATCACAAGGAAGCCCCGCCCTAAAACATACTATTTTATGGTCTGTTTGACTCTAAATGGACCATAACTTACTAAATGAACATCATGCTGTATTGAAGAAGACTTGAAACTAGAGATTGAGACCATAAACTCATGTTTACAATGTTTACTGAGGTAATAAATCAAGAGAAGTAGAGTCATTTTCTCATAGACTTCTGTACAATCGGACTTCTTTTTGCAGCCGGAGGAGTCGCCCCCTGATGGCCATTAGAGAGAATGCAAGTTTATTGCGCTTAGCTTGCCTTCGGCTTCACTTTTCGGACCAGACAGCGGCGATATGTGAGGACCTGGGAATTGGAACGGGCAGCACACCCACTCTGTTATTTGCTGGGGGTTACACATCCACATGGGGTCCAAAGCTTCTTTGCTGAAAGCACACAAACACGGCCATACACTTCTAGTTAGTAATAAGTGACGATTGAGAGGCGTTATTTTTGAATACATACATACGCTGCATATTATACCTTGTTTACAGCACCCTACCCACTTGGGGAACCACTGATTTGGATGCCAAAGCTCCAGCTCACTCTCTCGTTTCCTTTCAGCCTTGCTGGGCCTGATGTACGTCTACTGGACTCGCCTGAACATGTTCCAGACTCTGAAGTACCTGGCGATCATCGGTAGTGTGACTTTCCTCGCAGGGAACCGCATGCTGGCCCAGAAAGCCGTGAAGAGGTACGTGTTCTGATGGCGCCTGGTGTCAAATGGGGTCCCTAGAGTGTCCTTTTAGTCCCAGAGAGGGAGAGAAAAGCCTAGCCCCTTTCAGAGGACGAGGACTCTGGTGCTTTGAGGCCTCTTGGTAGTTCTTAGCCTCAAGCCCCGAGGAAAAGTGCCTGTCTCATATCGCAGCTCTTCAGTTGGTCCCCCTAGAGGCCGATGTCGATGCCAGGCCCTCTGCCAGAAGCAGAGCTCGTGCCCACTTGGACCAGGAGTGAAGCGTGGCAGCAAGATCTGCAAGAGTGGTGATCTAAGTGGGCAATTTCCTCACCATCAGTATGTAGAGCCCTCCACGGGCCAGAGTGAGCAATTTGAAACCTGTGTCTCCGACTCAAAACATCACTCCGTAATTGTTCACTTTTACTTCCTGCTCTTAAGACGAGCCCATTAAACCCCGTTTAAGCAAGTAGAATTTTCCAAGTAATGATTTCACAAATGTTGTTTTTTTCCAGTGAGGAACTCCAGTCACAACACCCCATCTCGTACGCCGTCCCCCCTCCCC